AGAAACCAAAAAAAGAAAGAACATAAAAGGCAGGACGCAGTGGGGCTCTGGACAGCTCCCCCGGGGCCACGCATTGCAGCAGGTCAGAACGGTGTGCGCCGACTGCACGCTGCCGTTGGAACGAAACACACGGCGCTTGTATAATTTGCAGCAATTGCAATGGGTAACCGCAGGAATTTGCTCTACAAAAGGTTTGCAGGGAGGTGAACACGCCTGCCTAATTCCCTCCAGGTGCTGTGCGGGCTCGGGGGCCGGTGGCAGCAGCCCCAGCTGTGTTTCCCTGCCTCCTGCACCGGGGCCATCCCCACATTCTTGCGCGTCCCTGGAGTGGGATGGAGGGTTCCCAACGGGGCTGTTGGTGCCCCGGTCTGGGGGAGTCCCAGTCGTGGCCTGCAGCACCCAGGCGTGGGATGTAGTACCTGGGTATGGGATGTGGTACCCCAACATGGGACACAGTACCCTGACACGGAATGTGGTACCCTGGCATGGGATGTGGTACCCTGGCATGGGATGTGGTACCCTGGCATGGGATGCAGTACCCAGGCACAGAATGGGGGGCTGCAGGGGAGGGGAACCCCCGTGGGCTGTGGGGATTCCCCTGTGCCCCCAGGAGCACACAGGGAGGCCCATACGTCCCCCCCAAAAGCACAGGGCCACCCCTGGGGCCAGCACTGCCAGGGGGGCCAGGACGCAGTGGGGTGCAAACACGCACTCACCGCACACGTGTGCAAATGCGCATGCACACCCACACATCTGTGCCAGCACCCGCACACCCATGTGTGCAAGCACCTCCATACACGCGTGCAAGCCCAAGGATGTGTGTGCACGCATGCACACGTGCACACACATCCCTGCACACGTGTGCACACTACAGGGGCAGGAGCACCCCGCAGCCCGGCTCTGGCCCCCCCCTGCTGCCACGGGCTGGGGGTGCCGGTGTGGGGCTGGGGCCGGGCATCTCCCACCCATGGGTGCCCCAGCACCCACCGGGGGGGGCAGAGCCGCTGCCAAGCGCCTGCGGCAGCTGCTGGCCAGGCTGGGAAGGGAAGGGCGAGCACCTTGCTCCCGCGCGGAGGAGACATCTGCAGCGAGTTAGAGGGGAAATCATGTTTATCCAATTAGCGTTACACGGCCCCTAACTCAGCACTGGCAGAAAAAAGGGCTCAGGTGGCTTCCCCGCGTGCCGAGCGGCTGCCGGCAGCCAGGAGCCCTGGCAAGCGCTGAGGGCCAGCAGGCCACGAGCTCCCGTGCTGTGGGATGGGGATGCTGGGGGAGCAGCCCGGGATCCGCCATCCCTGCGGACCCTGACCCTGTCACCAGCACCAGCTCAGGGTGTCATGGTGCAGCAGGGGGCACGGCGGCCCCAGGTCCTCTGCCCCAGTGCTCGCTGGCATGGCAGGCACCAACACGAGCGGAGCCACCGGCGTGGGTCACTGGGACAGGCGGGGGACAGCTCGGGCGCTGCCCGGCTCCCTGCGCCGTGCCGGCCGGGGCTGCCGGGGCCAGTGGTGTC